AATGTTTACCATGTGCCAGATATACACTGAGGACTCACATACATTATTTCATTTAAAACACAAAAGAATCTAAATCTGTTTTTCATAAGAGGAACCAGATTCATTTATTAGAACAGTTTAGTAGATTATGACTGGCATTTTTTTTAAAGAATAAATTACAAAATAGCTTTCTGAATCACATGTAATAATGACAAATACTGCTTCTTAAAATATTTGTTTCAGTATAGGTGTGAATACATGTGTGTGTTGAGTCATAACATAAAATATATTTTTTTACTGATGGTTAAAACTTTCAAAAGCCCTGCTTCATATGGTACCATTATTATATTAATTTTTAGAGGAAAAGTAAAAAGATACAGCTTTATAACTATAATTTCCAAAGTTCTCAAATGAATTAGCTTTCATAGAGTCTCTAATAGTGCCTAAGACAACGTTATTGTTGTCCATTGCTTCCTCTCTCTCTCATGGTTTGCATTTATATAGCATCAAGGCAGCCCTACCATAGGGTGATTAAATCTCCACAGATCAGGCCATCTGTGCCACTGAGTAAGTGGGATACTTCAAATAAGTGAATGATGAATTCTGTTCCAGACTGTCCCATAAAATTATAATAAAAATAATAATGAAGTGCTCTCTAATAAAAAGAAAGTCATTACAAATACTGTGCTATTGATTTCAAAGGGCAGTAATTTTAGAGGAGCTCTTTCATCTGTGTTATAAATCTCGGCAACCAGTGGAGAAAATGTCAGGATTTTAAAAGCAAACAAACAGAAAAAAAATTGCCTCACTGCTCATCTTTCATGCTGTTTTGAGTAAAACTAAGGTAGCACAAATATTTAAACAGATGGTTCAATGATATGCTTTTTTCTTTACTTAATCATAGTTATTAAAGCACTCACTTTATTTTTATTGTGTTTTAAACGGGCAGAGAAAATCTGAGGCTGATAACGACCTTTGTACATCATGCTGCAAATTGATTTTGATGACCTTTCACTTTGCAATAATTAGGCTGGCTTCATGCACATTCATCTCCCTCTCTCTGCTCTCAGGGTGCCTGGTGCAGTGTTTTTCCCTGCTGTCTCCCGAAACCCACTCTCCTCCCCTTCCCCCAGCTTTGTCTCCATCATCGCTGCACTGGGTTTCTCTCTCTTTCCTGAAAGCCACAGATTCTTGAATACAGAATGAATAGAGGTATTTAGAGGCTGACAAGAAAGAAGAATAGTTATTTTACTGATGTTTTGAATGATCAAATATCTGAATTGTCATGTAATTATGACCATTACAATGATGTCATTGGCATAGTCATTTGTCGATTGTGTACATTGTGTTGAAGACTTATTACCACATTGAATTATAACTCAGCAGTTTAATGAATTTTTTAAGGGTGTTTCTTTGTGGCTAATGTGAACAGATGGTGGAAGTGGAACAGAAATAAACTATGCCTCATTTTCCTTTACATTTTCTTTGTTATTATGCTCTAAAATTAAGAACATCAGACTAACACATTTTTACACATATATTTTAAACCATAATCTTTAAAAAGACAATTGTCAGATATCCCTCAAGTTTATATTTTCTTTAGACTTACTTTTTTTTTTTTACTTTTTTTGCAGTAAAATATAGATGGCATTTTAAAGTATGCAGTTCAGTGGCATTAATTACATTCACAGTGTTGTACAACACCAAATTATACTTCCTAGAGATTTTCATCATTCCAAACCTTTAAATATATTTTTAAGCAACTGCATTTTTACTTCATTAGGGACTTCTCTCTTTCTTCCTCATGTGATAGTCATTAAATAATATTCTTAACGTAACTATTTATATATGAACCCCCTAGGCTTAAGGTTGGAGAAGGAAATGGCAACCCACTCCAGTGTTCTTGCCTGGAGAATCCCAGGGACGGGGGTGCCTGGTGGGCTACCATCTATGGGATCACACAGAGTCGGACACGACTGAAGTGACTTAGCAGCAGCAGCAGCAGCAGGCTTAAGGTTAATTATAAATGTGTTGTCTTCAGAACTACAGAATTCCAAAGAATATTTTATTGATGAATAGTAGTACAAGAAGCTTCACAGGAGATAATAGCAAACATTTACAGAACATTTTTTGAATGAAGCTCTAAGTTAATTTCTATACATGTTAAGGAGAAAAGTTTGATAACAAAATGTTGCTTAATGCAGGTAAAGTGGATGTTATTAATAAGTTGACCTTTCTTACAAAAATACAAAAGTTGAGTCTTTCATGCATATGTGCAATGCACAATAAGAATGATCATAAGCAAACTGGACCAAGTCTTATAGAGCTTGCAGGGCCCAGTGTTACTCTGTTCCTCTCCTCACCAACAGCCTGAGTTGAACCCAGGAAACAGAAATTAAACTATGATTTTCAAATGGAAGGAACTTAATATAGGAAACTGATCATACAAGTGATGTAAATGATGAAAAGTCAACAGGGGATTGCCAGGCAACCCAAGTATTATCAACAACAGGAGTTATTACTAGGCTGGAGAACCAAAGTGGCAATGGAGGCAATGTAGGAGACCCTGGGGGTGGGAGTAACCCCGTGGAAGCTGGAGCCACAAAGGAGACTCATTGTTGGAGAAATGTCCCCATGATGAGACAGCAGGAGAAATATTCTGATTTCTCTCTCCCTAATACATTTTAGTCTGCCTACAATTCTATCATTGGCCAAACCCAACCAGAATCATCTGGCAAGGCAGCCCAGGGCAGAGACTGGAGGGAAGAGCATCACCTCCCACTCCTCCTAACAGAGGAGAGACCAGGGTAAGAAGAGTAAAGAAGAGACTTAGAGGCAAAAGTATCAAAGACTGGCTTTAATGTTCCAAATCAGGAAATGCTGACCCCTTCTAACAAAGGCAAACGGAGGAAAATGTACAAAGGTTTATGGATGCATGATGAGTCATAATATAAAGAGCTAAGCTTTAAGAAAACTTCCCAAGGAAGTAGATGCCTCTCACCTTTGTAACTCTTGATTCCTTTCTTTTCCTTATTTCTCACAACCAATGAGGAAGTCTTATCTGCACACTCCAAAACACGTCTCCCATCCAACTACGTTCACCACTTCGGTTGGTCCCACCACCATCTCTCACTTGAATTTTTGCAAAAACCTCCTAACTAGTTTTACTCATTAATTTTTTCCTCATTTAAAATAATTGAGGTAAATTTTACCTACAATGAAATTCACAGATCTTAAGTGAGTTCTGATGCATGTATATGTCTATATAAATTATCAACAACAATTTAAGTATAGAACAACAATTTAAGTATAGAACTTTTACATCACCTCAGAAAATCCCCTCACATCCATCCAGTTGAGTCAAACTCCACCTTTCATAATCAGCCATCACTCCACCTTCTAAAACCATGGATTTGTTTTGCCTGTTGTTTAAGCTTCATATAAACAGAATCATACAGCATATATTCTTTCATGTGTAACTTTTTTCCCTCGTCATAATGTTTTTGAGGTTCATCCACATTGCCGTGTACCATTAGTTTATTCTTTTGTTAATTTCTGATTAGCATTCCATTTTGTGGATATACTATAATTTGTTTCTCCATTTTCCTGTTGATAGACACCTGGACTATTTCCAGTTTTTTGTTACTATGAGAAAGCTCTTATAAACTTTCAAGCATAAGTCTTTTTGTTGGACATATGTTGTCATTTCTCTTGAGTAAATTCCTAAAAATAGAACTGATAGATTATATGGTAAATGTATGTTAGCTATAAGAAAATTCTAAACTGTATTCTGAATTGGATACACTATTTTACACTACCACCATCAATATTTAAGACTTCAGTAGTTCTACAATCTTGAAAACATTGATATTGCCAGTATTTTAATTTAGTCATTCTAAAGGGTGTGCAGTAGTAGCTCACTGTAGTTTTAATTAGCATTTCCTTGACAATGACTAATTGAGATTTTCATGTGCTTTTGAGTTGTTCATATATTTTCTTCTATGAAAGGCCAGTTCAAGTTTTTGGTCATTTCTTACTTTTTATTGTTTTTAAAGTGAGTTTTAATAGGTCTTTATATATTATAAATACAAATCTTTGCATATATATAATTAATATTATTTATATATGCAAAATTTCTTACAGTTTGAGTTTTGTATGTTTATTTTATTAAAGCTGTTGTTAGGTTTTAATTTTGATGAAGTCAAATTTTATATTTTTCTTTTCTGCTCAGAGTTACGTCCTCTCTAAGAAATCATTTTCCATCCAAAAGCTCTCAGGATATTCTGTTATTTTTTTTCCTCTAGAATTTTTAAGGTTGTAACTTCTACATGTAAGTCTATCATTCATCTTAATTTAATTATTGTGTGTGTCATTTGAAATGAGAGGTTAAGATTCATTTTTCTTTCATACATTTATCCAGTTGTTCCAACACTGTTTGTTAAAAAGACTTTCCTGCATTAAATTGTTTCAGTCCTTTTTTGAATAACAAAAAAACTTGTTCACAAATAGGAATATTTTTGGATTTTCTATTTGGATTCTCAGTTTGTCATTGACCTATTCTGCTATCCTTGTTGTCTATCACTTTCTTGACAGTGTACTATAGTTTTGTAACAGGTCTTGCAAAGAGATAGTTGTATATCTTACAATTGTCTTCAAGGATATTTTAGTTTTTTTGCATGTCCTTACAAATCCTAGAATCAGCTTTTCAATTTTTATATAAAAGTCTTATTAGATTTTAATCAAATTGTATCATATATCAATTTGGGAGATAATTGATACTTTCACATCAGCAAGACTTCTAATTCATTAACATAGCGTATTTTTCCATTTATTGAGGAATTCTTCAATTTCCCTTGGCAATGCTTTGCAGTTTTCAGCACAAAATCTTTCATATACTTTGTGTTTATTTCTGCACTTAAAAACTCTATTTTTGGTGTTATAATAAATAGTATTTGTGATGATCATCATCCAAGAAGGTTCCCAAAGGTTTTCACTCACTCTGTATGTTTGCCTTTGGGCAGGCATCCCCACTGAATAAAGTTGGCTTGAGTGATCAAGAGAATGTCATGGGGATGACTGAGTGGGACTTCCAAGGCTCATGAAAGAAACTGTGGCCTGTGATTGATCTCTTCTGGATCATCATTCACTTTGAAGGAAGCTACTGCCACATCATGAAGACACCTGCGAGGTCCTAGGAGAGGCACATGTGGTGGGGAACAGAGACCTCTTACCGACATCCAGCAACACTCTCACCAATACTTGGTAGCCACGCTGGAAAGCCTTCTTGAGAGATCTTCCAGTCCAGCTCTGCCGCTCTGGCTGACATCTTGACTGCAACCCCTTGAGAGATCCCAAGCCAGGATCATTCGGCTAAGTTCTTCCCAAATCCCTCAACCATGGAAACTGTGTGAGGTACTAAATTCTTATTGTGGTACTAAGTCATTACATCTATGGTCGTTTGAAATGCAGCAATAGATAGTATAATACAATATTGTTCTTAAGTTTTTATTTTCTAGTTGTTTTTACTATATATAGAAATAACATTGATTTTATAATATGTTGACCATGTATCCTGTGACCTTGCTAAATTCACTAATTAGTGCTAGTAGTTTGTTTTATAGATTTATTAGAATTTTTAATGTAAACAATAAAGCCACCTGTAAATAAAGAATTTTACTTCTTTCTTGCCAATCTCTATACCCTCCATTAGTTTCTTCCTCCTGTAAGACAGGACTTAAGTACAATATCCACTAAAAGTGGTCAGTCACAGCATAAATCCTTACCTTGTTTCTGACTCCTAGGAACATGTTCAATTTTTACTAAACACAAGTATGATGTTTTATAGATACCTTTTAGATTGAGGAGATTATCTATCTACAGTTTGCTAAAATTTTCTTACATAAATGAGTGGCCACAGTGTTGCCTTTTAAAGAAATTGTAAGAATATTCTCTTATATTTATACATATGAACTATTTCCAGAGTTCTTCACCCTTTTCTTTCATCTGGTATTATTTTCCTTTATCCTAAAAAACAAACTTCAGTATTTCTTACAGGCAGATCTACAAGCAACAGATTCTTTAGGCTTTTGTTTATCTTTATGTCTATTTCACATCATCTTTCTTTAAGAAAGTTTTTTTGAGAGTACTTTGCACTGCCAGCACAATTAATTTGCTCATGTTTCCTCCCACTAGAGGGTGAGTTTTATGAGGTCAGACGCCTTGTCTTATTTACTTTTCTATTTGCTTTACCAGGAATTGTCTGTCACAAAGTGTTGGTCAATTTATTGGCAGAAAGAAAGAATAAAGAAAGGAATGGAGGAAAGGAGGGAGGGAGGGAGGAAAGGAAGAAGGAAAGAATGAAAGAAAATTAATTGGAACTGCTATTTATGGCCCTTAAGAAAATATTTGAGTTTGACAGTGTTTCTTGAAACATCAACTGCATTCATCTGGTGTTTGAGTGGCACAAATTAGTTTGCTTACAATAGCAGTAAAAAATATTTGGCAAGAAGGAGGTAAAGGAAAATGTCAATTATATATACACCATCAAAAACTTATAATGCATTTTAAAGTACAAAATAACAATTCATTACAAACTTATTGTTATATATATGTGTGTATGTATTATCTATAGATAGATAATGAAATAAATTTCCTATTTCTTACTCCATATAGAGTATATTCATTGCAACCTTATAAGTGTAAAGGAAGTAGATGTGTGTGTGTTAGTTGCTTAGTCACGTCTGACTCTTTGCAACCCCATGGACTGTAGCTTGCCATGCTCCTCTGTCCATGGAATTCTCCAGGCAAGAATGCTGGAGTGGATTGCCATTTCTTTCTCCAAGGAAGTAGATAATTTTGATCATAAATACTTGAATACTACTAGTATATAAGCAGTCATCCTTAAAGTGAGATACAGAAATTACTGGCACTTTTCATTTTAACAATAGCACATTTTAGAATGTGCATGCAGTGATTCTGTATCTAATGACAAGAAAACACAGAGAGGCCTGGGAGGAAAAAATTGGTGGAAGACAAGGATAAAGATGACAGGTTTAACATATGAGGGGCATAAAATAATAAGCATCCAATATGGTCAACTGACAAAGAAATTTTTGATGAGAAGTATTTTGAAAACACCCACAGTTCTAAATAACTACTCTAAGCTAACAATGACTTAGCCTGCAAAAGGAAAACAGCTGCTAAATAATATCATTTGTAATGTTCATAATACTGAGTATAAATCAACCAAGAATCCTCGACTAGAAAAGATCAGGTTTAGGCTGAATAGTGGTAACACATATTTTTCTAGGAAAGAAATGCTATGGAATTCAAATTCTGAAGTGGTAGGCTCTATTATCCTGAAGAACAATATTCCAGGACAAGACTGTAAACATTGAAGTCTGGGTCATTTAACATGTACCTGAGCAAAATGCTGTCCCATAAGTTGTATAGATCATTCTGTAGATAGAGATGTCAGTCAGGTGAGCTAGCAGGACTAATTTGTCCCTAATTCTGATGTGAGACATTGTTTGACAGAGCATTTGGTGAGGTCATGAGAAGATTTTCAAAGTAAAAATACTTGGTGTGGGCCAACATGTGAAAAGGTAAGTGATGTCAGAGAGTAGGCTTTTAGAGACAGGCGTGGGTTCAAACGTACCAAAGGTGATCTTTCTCCTTTGTAGATCATGATAGAACTTGTTTAAGCTTGCTGTTTCTTTCACACTTAAAAGTGTACCAAGTTATACAATTATATGATTACCCAATTTAAATGTCAATTCTATTACTTACTGGGAGAACTTGGGCGAGATATTTAAGTTTTCTAGTCTTAATTCCTTACTTTTAAAATGGGAATAATCATAAGTAATTCTTAGGCACAGTGAGAGGTTTAAATGAGATATTTTAGGAAAGATTCTACTTGTGCACCTGGTTTGTTAGATTGCAGGAAAGTGCTATTTCCTCATCACCTGCATCCTCTACAATAAGATAATTAAAGCCTTCAGTGATATGACCCCAGCATGCTTTTTCTTCTTCATCTATCTCTAACTTCATCTGCCTCAAACTTGTAAAAATTTTCTAACTCTTGAAATTTGGCATGCTATTTTTTAGCAATTCTCATCTTTCTCATTATCTTAAATTCTCTTTACTATTTAAGGCTCACCTTTTCTGAATATCTATTGCTAGAAGTAATCTTTCCTATACATATAAGCACCTTTTAAAAATTTTTGGCTGTCACTCTTTAAAATGGTTTAAATATTTAATGAAATAATACAAATTTTATATTATTTGGATCTATTCCAATTTTTTATTGATTAGGTTGTACATTTTTACATTATTTAAATACACTATAAATTATTTAATGAATCTCTTACTTAATGATATTTAAGTTGATCTCAGTTTTTAAACTATTATCACATTTTAATGTAAAAAGTTGTGTTAAATTGTTTTTATTTAAAAATCAATTTTTTTTTTTTTTTTTCAAAATTAAGGATGGGAATTTTTTTTGTCATGTGTTTCTTTTTTGTTAAATGTCCTCTATTCAAACTGTTTTAGATTTTCCTGAAAGGTTTTTAAGTGTTGTCTAAGTTATCAAATTTATAGTTTCTGAGTTTTGTGTCTGCTTAGAAAGATCATCTCCATTCTAAAGTTATAAATTAATTCAGTCGCGTTTTCATTCAATACTTTTATGGCTTCACCGTTTAACTCTTTGATCCATCTGTAGGTTATTTTCATGTAAGCAGTAATACTAAAGTGTGACTTTATTTTTTTTTAATGACTATACAGTTATAAAAGATTTGTTGAAAAATTAATCTTTATCCCCACTGGTTTGAGATACTCTTTTTGTGTTACTTTTCAAATGTATTTGGGTCTATTTCTGAACTCATTTTCTTCCATTTATATTTCTGTGTATTGCCGGCCATTATTAAAGTTATATAAATTAGAGATTTAATATATGTTTTATTATTTGGTATGACTTCCTAGTCTTCTTCTTTAGAATATTTCTAGCTAGTTTTATGTGTTTATTTTCCAGACTAAGTAGTAATATTTTTTTATTTTGTAGATTTTAGGGTTTTTTTTTTTAGTTAATGTTTTACCTGGCGGCTCAGACAATAAAGAATCTGCCTGCAATGTGGGAAACCTGGGTTTGATCGCTGGGTCAGGAAGATCCCCTGGAGAAGGGAACTGCTGGCCTGGAGAATTCCATGGACAGAGGAGCCTGCCAGCTACAGTCCATGAGGCAGCAAAGAGTTGGGCACAATAGACTTTTGTGCGTCACTTCCGAAAGTCGGAAAGTGACTGTCTTTCATTTCACAATTTGAATCTTTATTTATAAAAACAGGATAGATTGCATTTTATGGAAGGACTATTACTATGTCTTTCAACAGATACTAAAAAATTTTCACCCTGTAGTCATCTACAGATACTTATAATGTTGTTTCTATAAAGTTTGCTCTGTTTGAGGCGATGAATGACATTATTTCCTCTACTGTATTTTTTAATTGGTTATAATCTATACATATGAATGTACATTCATTAACTATGTAAATAGATGTCTTTATTTGTAATAGCTTTCCAGTTCAATTCTCTTTTTTCAAATATGGAATCATACTTTCTACAAGTAATAATATTTTACCTTTTATTTTTTAAAAATTGATAGTCTGTTTCAGATTAGAGCAATGCTTATAGTATTGCTCATCTGGGTTAAAATTCAAACACTGTCAAGTTAATTAAATGTTCGAATCTTCAGTTTTCTCATCTGTAAAAAGCAAAGGTAGTAGTGCCGTTGACCCTTGAACAACACAGAGGTTAGGAGTGTCCACAATCCCTGATGTTGAAAATCTAACTCTCTTGTGACTTTGCATCTGAGGATTCAACCAACTGTAGATTGTGCACTACTGTGGTATTTACTATATATTAAAAAAATATATGTGAAAATGGACCAATGCTATTCATGTTGTTCACAGATAAACTGTACTAAGCAACACAGGGTAGGTAACATATAGATCTAACTATAATGTGTGTAAATCAATTAGCAACATACCTAGAATATGATACACTTCCCCAAATATTAACCATTGTTTTATTTTTCCTCACAGTTAATTGAATGGTGTCTTATTATCAATATTGTGTGTGTGTTAGTATCTCAGTCATGTCCAACTCTATGTGACCCCATGGACTGCAGCCCACCAGGCTCCTCTGTCCATGGAATTCTCCAGGCAAGAACACTGGACTGGGTTGCCATTCCCTTCTCCAATTATCAACATCAAATAATACCAATAGTCATTTTAAATGACTTCCAGTAATGATGTGTGGAATTGCCTAATGGTCTTTTTGTAGTGTATAGATTACAGCATGGTAAACTCAGAGTCTAGATTTACCAGGACTATAATAACATGCAATTCTACTGTTTTAAA